TTGAAGGATGTTGGAGACATATGGATCTTGTAGTATTCCCCAGTTCTCCCAGTGCAGTTGAAGGCGTCCACCCACTTGTGAAGGTTATACAGGAACGGCTGCCTCTTCCAGATCCTCCCCTGTAGTTGCCGAATGGGCGGCGAAAAGAGTCCTTTCCACCTCTGGATCCGACCATCTTCCTGTCCCGTGCTCTCTGTAAACCAGTGAACTTCGATCTTCCGGAGTATCTCTGTGATGTCTGCTTGATGACGGTAGTCAGAGTGTCAATCGATTTAATCATGAGGACTTCTCTTGAATCCTTGATGACTTCTTTAGAGACTTTATCAATTCCTCCAGCGAAGATGGAAGGCGTTGACCATGGGGCTGTGAATAGAGGTGCTGTGAACTGTTCACCCCAACTACAGGTGGCGAGGAGACCTTGACGACGAGCCTGAGTAAGAGCTGCTGAGATGGATGAAAGGTGATCCGTCAAGAATTGCTGGTCCTTCTTCTGCATAAGGAGGGCCGAGTTAATCATTCTGTCGTCTTCTGATGTAGAATCTCGGAATCTAGTGATGAGAGTTTCATTAATAGTTCTGGATCTCGGCTGAGAAAGTTCTTGTTGACTGCGTTGTTTTCCCCTTGGTAGTAGACACTGCCCTGGGGGTGCGGAGTCTGCGTTGTGACGTAGATGCCCTCTTAGTCTGCGACGACGGGATGTCTGGTGATGCAGGACGCTTCTTGGAGATGGCGGACTGCGTCCCACGCCTCTCCTCAACGTAATCTACTGAACAATCACGGCGCCCCGCGAATAAACAGTAGTAAATACGAGTAAATACGAGTAAATATTAAAACCATATTGTTGAAGGATACTAGCTAAACCTCTATAAGAGACTTGTAGAGGTAACTAAGTAAGAATAATCAAAGGATATAGTGCCGTAGGGAGACACAGGCGCTCTCACATCCTGCTCACTGGGCGAAGAAGGAGAGAGTGAAGCATGTGGGATGTGGTGGCGCCACCTTTCCCGCCAAAAGGGGACAAGAGAGACAACTCTTGGTGAGTATTGATTAGTGATCTTAAATTGAAGGGAGCTTCAATTAGGGAGATACAAGTGTTCCACTATGTTCGCAAGAAGAAGAAGACAAGCAAAAAGAGCATGAGTCAGGATAAGGAAAAATCTACGATTATATTCTTACCTAACCCATAAGAGAGTCACATGAGGAAAGTAATGGCCACTGGCTGTTACAATAAGTTTACTTGCTGTCAGTAATATCTCTTTTTTTAGATAGAAGTCCAAAATGCAAACATTTTTTGGCAGCATATCTACTTCTAGTGACCTTGCCCTTAACATCAAAGTTTGAATCATGGTTACAAGTACACGGACATCAAGGAAGTAAAACCAAAAGTGACTCCCAGAAACAATGCATAAGCACAGACACACGGTTTCAGAATGGTTCAGTTTCAAGGACACAATATCTGATTGTTACCTACAGCCTCAAAGATATTTTCGATTCAGATGGTATGGCATGTCCTTTCAAAATTTACCAAAATCATGAAAATGTCTTCATGACATTTGTTTGCAGGGATCTAAGCCATGAAATCTGTAAAAAGAAGTACTGTATACCAGGCTATTACAATTCATACATATATTTGGTGAATCTATATCCCTTCAAGAATTCAATTAACTTTTAGCAATCACGAATATTCATGATTTCTTTTTAAAAGAGAGAGTATTTTTAGTGAATTGGGTTTCATTCATCAAAGCGAGATATTCAAAATGGAATACGTCGCCAGGCAGAATAATAGTCTAGTCTCATATATTCAATTTGCCAGTGATATGGTCATTGATCATAGTCGTAAAAAAGTTTACACTGTCAATGTGGTCAAAACCAGTAAAAGCACATAGTTTGTATTGTTTCACTGAACATAATGAATAATACACCCAATATTCATGATATGTATCATATTCACTTCATTGAGGATAGTGTTGCAGCCCAATTGTATACTTATAAGATTTTGGGAAACATTGAGTTTCACTGTGACACTGATTCTGAAGATCCTACAATACAGAGAGCCGACAGATTAACTGACACTAGTCCAATAGAATTTATGGAAATATTAAAACACTCTTGGTTAATATAATTTTTCCTGGTAAATGTTCATTCCATAAACAACAAGTGTTTGCTACTGATATGGCAATGTCCTCTGCCGCTAAAGAATGGAATATTTATAACATATTTACTACTTTTTATGTTTTGGTCACATACAAGATGCCAGAAATGACTGGTGTCTGCATAATCACCCAATGTAGGCTGTCAACATAATTGAAGACATTGGGTGCAATGTTTTATGAGATATCGCGTTAACAAGAGTTTGAAAAGTGGTCAAAGTGTCGTGTTGACCTTGAAGATAGGGTCAAGGTCACCCAAATCAATTGGTGTCTGGGTAATCCCCCAATGTACGCTGTCACCAAATTTGAAGACATTGGGTACAACAGTGCATGAGATATCACTTTAACAGGAGTTTGAAAAGTGTCGTGGTGACCTTGAAGATGAGGTCAAGGCCACCAAAATCGACTGGTGTCTGGGTAATCCCCCAATGTAGGCTGTCACTAAATTTGAAGACATTGGGTACAACAGTTCATGAGATATTGCGTTAACAAAAGTTTGAAAAGGGTTCGTGTCATGGTGACCTTGAAAATAAGGTCAAGGTCACCAAAATCGACTGGGTCTGGGTGATCCCCAAATGTAGGCTGTCACCAAATTTGAAGACATTGGGTACAACAGTTCATGAGAATTGAGATATCGTATTAACAAGAATCAGGACGTATGGACGGATGGACGCCGCTGAATACATTGTCCCCCGGGGGACAAAAAATGTAATTTTTTTAATAAAATTGATATTTTATACTTATCCTGACTCATGCTTATTTGCTTGTCTCCTTCTTCTTGCGAACTGTAGTGGAACACTTCTATCTCTTATTGAAGTTCCCTTCAATAAAGAACAGACGTAAAATCACTCCTGCCAAGAGTTATCCTCCCAGCTGTTTAGGCGGGAAACTGTGGCGCCACCGTCCCCACGTGCCTCACTCTCTCCTGATTATGAGCCCGACACTTGAATTTGCAGGGAAATCCAAAGAGTTTTGTGGGGAGGTAGGGAGGGCTTACCTCATGAGTCAGGATAAGTATAAAATATCAATTTTATTCAAAAAATTACATATTTTTCCTTATCCTGACTCATGCTTATTTGCTTGTAGAATCCGACGGATTGCCGTAGGTGACAAAGATAGTCCGCCACTTGAGGATGTGTCGCTTTCCTAGCTGAAATTCCATTTTTATCAGCGTAGGTCTCAAAGCTGCGCGAAGGCCTTCGCGAAGGCTGGCCCGAGTCAAGGTCTGGGGATGAACGATTCTTTTCGTGAACGCTTCCGTGAACGTTGATCGTCCGAGTCCTTAGCAGGTGAAGATCGTGTAGCCCTCCGAAGGTCTACACGAATGCTGATCGCCTGGGTCCTCCACAGGGGTAGGCTGGGTCTATCTTCACGGAGGCTAGTCCGTTGAAGTTCTGACGTACTTCGCGAAGGCCTACGTGATGCTGGTAGAAGTCTCGCTGATGGTAGGTCCCTCAGAAACGACGTCTGCGTTGGAACCTTCGCGAAGGCTCGGGACCTCGTTGTGGGCTGTGACTTCTTTTCCAGGCCGTAACGCTGCTCTATCATCTCCTGCATAAAGTCCCCCGGGTTGAAGGTCTGCGGTGGTAGTAGCGCTGCCCTTCCTGCGGTGATAGCGACATGGCCCACAGGACGCTTCGCCTGTTGTCATCGTGAGATACCTCGGTACCGTGGAGATCTGCGCTGAAGTCACCGTAGCTGAGACTGGTCGCTACTTGTGATGACCTCTGGGAAGATGATCAGTTGATCATCGGAGAGTCCCTGTACCGCCAACGGAGCAATCTCGCAGAGAAAGTCCTTGTAGACTGCGCAGACGCCCCCGTAGAGTTGGTCGCGTCATCTGCGGGTGTGTAGCCTTCTCTGGGTAGAGAAAGGCGCTCTATTCGCCGCGTCTGGCGCGATGATTGCAGAGCTGCCTCTCTGGCGCTGATAGCGATATGGTCCGGGATCGCCATCTGTCGCCTCGGACTGCGTGCGGCTGTATCTCTGGGATGATCAGCAGCGGCTCATCATGAAGTCATCTCACTGCCATCGGGATGATGTCTGTGAGGCTTCATTCTGCGTAGAGGATGGTGTCTTCTACGTCTGCGTTGAGGGGTTGTCCGATGAAGAAGCCAACGTCTTCGAAGTAATGGCGGACAACATCCCACGCCCATCCTCCGAGGATAACTCCGGTAGGTCACTTGATGGTAGTAAGTCGTCTAACAGCAGTAGACAGCTCGTGAGGGACTCACCCAGTTTATCCATGACTTGGAAAGTCACCTGGATAGTCGATAGTACGTCTAAGTACAGAGAAAATTATTTATTAAATTGAATTTTAATTAAATGCTGATAAAGATTACAGCTATAGCTGGAAGTACATGTTGTTGTGCAGCTATGGCACAATCAATGCGGGTCTGTAGCAGCGAACCTAAACCTACAACGAAAATAGGTTATCATGAAATGTAAACAATTGAACAAACACGGACAATTCCGTGAATAAACAGTGCTAAATACGATTAAATATCAAACGATAATGTTGAAGAATAGTAACTAAACCTCTATAAAGGTATAATAGAGGAGAATAACTAATTAATTAAAAGATATAGTGCAGTATAGGAGACACAGGGGCTCTCACAACCTGCCCACAGGGCGAAGAAGGAGAGAGTGAGTGACGTGGGGACGGTGGCGCCACAGTTTCCCGCCTAAACAGCTGGGAGGATAACTCTTGGCAGGAGTGATTTTACGTCTGTTCTTTATTGAAGGGAACTTCAATAGGAGATACAAGTGTTCCACTACAGTTCGCAAGAAGAAGGAGACAAGCAAATAAGCATGAGTCAGGATAAGGAAAAATAATGTAAAACAATTTACCTCTTATTTTGTGACTCCAATATGTGTTTCTTCTTTAAGACTGTCATCGCCCTAACCTCCCAAACCTGCATATAAAAGAACACAATTATTGTTATTTTGTCAAACTGTCAGCCTGAATGTCATCAATAATCAGCACAAGGGAGCTGACAAGTGGAACGTTTAGAGTTCTTCTTTATAACCAATGACTAATGTTTATACACCCCATCCTTCCAGCCTCATCAGCTCAACCACTGGGACGGTGGGGTAGCCTAGTGGTTGAAGCATTCGCTCATCATGGCGAAGACCCAGGTTCGATTCCCCATGTGGGTACAATGTGTGAAGCCCATTTCTGGTGTCCCCCGCCTTGATATTACTAGAATATTGCTAAAAGTTGCATAAAACTAAACTCACTCAATCACTCTACCGGGAACGACAGAAGTCATCCTTCATCACGTCAGCAATGTAGATGTAATCTTTAATGTTCACGCTGTATGATATAAATCAATATCAAATTAAAAATTTACCATCAGATATGTTTATGTATATTAAGATGACCATGGTTGAGATAGACAAAAGGAGGTAGAAAATTCACTTTTTAACATGGTTGAGCCAAGCTGATATATAGCACTAATATAATCATTTTTCATCTATACAAATACAGAGTAACTAATCTTATTATTAACTGATAAATCATTATTTCTGTGGATATGACGACAACACCAATCACTGACACCCCTACCAGGTACCTATCACACCTGCTTCCACTATCTCTATGGCCTTCGTTGCCTTGCACAGAGACACAGAGATTTGCACTCCAGGAGCTATGTAGCAGTGTGTCATCCTTCATGGCCAGACAATACAAATGATTTATCGATATCACAGGGCACTGTGACATAATTCAGCTGGTTTCCCAAACTTCAACTACAGCACTGAAATGCATTTCTAACCCACATGTGCAATATCAATCAATTAACGTAATTCCATTCAGCAAATTCAACATTGCAAATTTAATCAACTCCTCCAAAATATGTTGGAAATTGATTTTTCCACAAAAATTGGGTTCACCTTTTCAGTGACAAACTCCCTGATGTGTCATTAACAGTGACTCATAGATAGATCTTACAACACCAAGCATGGAGGAAAGAGAGCACCATGCCACCAAACTCTAGGAACAGTATTCTGTCGAACAAGTCATCAAGTGCTCTGACTCAATCATTCAGGTGAATCATTCAACAGAAATACACACTTGTATATTCACCCAGATATTATTCATGAGCTATTGATTCATGATGAATGTACAACAGTCAGTGAATGGTTTATTACTTTTACTAAGTGTTCAGCAATTGACACACCATGTTTGTACCATTATTTAACCATTGACATGGTGGTGTTGTAGCCGTAGACGACTTTCTTAACCTCACTGGCACACCCTGGTGCTGTTAAAATGGACAGGACATGATTTGTACTGCTAACCAGAGAGCAGCTCATGCCTCAGAAGGGTTTCATTTTCAAGGCATATGGTTTCATGACTTAAACAGTCTCATGATGAGGCTTGAGGTCTCAAGAAATAGTGTTATATGTGTTATATATTAGATGTCCTATACAGACTTTAAAACACGACTTACAAACTTAGTCTTGTGTTATATATCATGATAATTAATAGGTTTCAGTGAATGTACAGGTAAGACAAGTGAGTAATAGTGGTGATCATGCCAGTGATTTGGGGATGGCAAATATACTGTATTAGGAAAGAAACATTGTGTTAGCCTTGGATGTTGTGTGATATATATAGCTCCGAGCATAAAAAAGGAGACACATATTGGGTCCCCGTGATGTGTATTCGAACATCAGCATTATCTTCCCTGTCTGGTGGGTCGGGTCACGTGATGATGCTGCAGCAGATGACTTCCTAGTTACTGACATTATGTCAAAAACCGAAGCCGAAATATCAACTTCTCACTTTTTATGAAGCAGGGTGCAAATCAGTTCAATAAAATCAGTGCGGAAAATATCGGGGTTACCAAGGAGTGCCATTTACCGACTTATTGCCAGATTTCAAGCTGCAGGCAGTTTTCAGCGCAAGCAGGGATCGATGACATCCACGTAAACTCGGTGGGAATGACAGGAAACGACTCGCACAACTGGCTGCAGTGCATCCACACTGGTCAGCAAACTACTAGGTGAGCACACCACAGCTTTAGGTAGTACAAGAGCGTCAGAATGGACTGTAAGGAGGAATTTAAAAGAATCAGGAATTTTGAAGAAAGTGCCAACAAAGATTCCATGACTGAAGCGCACAAACAGAAAAGATGGGAGTGGTGTGAAAGTAATAAACACTGACTTTTCAAACTGGACATTTACTGACGAAGCTAAGTTCCAATTTTTCAGAATTATGAGAAGGTGGTGTCGCAAAAGGAAAATGCAAAAAAATGTGCCCAAATTTCTTGCCTTCTGTGATGGATTGGAATTCCCTATATTATGCAACAGGACAATGCCCGTGTTCACACATCCGTCCACACCAAAACATGGCTTTGTCAGAATCACATACAAGTACTGGATTTTCCTGCTCCTTCACCAGACCTGAACCACTTTGAAAATGTTTGACAAATCATCAAGGACAAAGTGGAAAAGTTGGAACCAAAAGACATTCCAGAGTGGAAACGAATGATTCATGAAACGTGGTACGAGCTATCTGAAGAACTGATTGACAATCTAGTAAATTCCATGCCTCGCTGGATTGAACAGTGTTCGGGCAAAATGGTGGACTGACTGACAGTGACTACTGACTCATTGTGAACGATTTAATAATGCACTGTGTACATGTGTGCCAATTTTCATAAATTTATGTCAAATATTAAATTAAGACGTTGAATCTAAAGTTGTCTACTTTTTTTCACTCGGAAGTGTATCATTATATGTAATGTTCCACTGAATGTAAGAGTTACGTAATATATCATACTACATAGGTTCCATTGGATGTAGTATTCGTGTGATTTTAATTGATATAGTTGTTCACTTGAATGAAAATCTTAAGTGACAAACAGTGGTATGTAGATTTCAATGATTGCTAGTCGTGTGTGACATATGATCTATTGGTTCCACTGAACATAAATCTTGTGCAATATATCAGGATTACATAAATGTTATATAGTGATCCCATTAAATTTAAGTTGTGTCCTGTGGCATATGATAAAAGTTTCAAAACAAATAGGTATCGTTGCATACTTTGTGTAGCTTGGGGTTTTGAAAGGTTTTAAAAATCAGGAAAATCAACAAAGAACTAGATTGATTTTGAGCAGATGAAACAAATATTCCATGATCTGTACCTCCTTGACATTACTTGAAGCCTCTTGTGAAACACGTTTTGGCAACCCATGTCCTATACAGACCTTAAAACCAATTACAAACTTTCCAATGACTTCAGCTACCAGACATTTAAATGATCTAGTAAACAGGATTTAGGCACAGACTGCAAGCTCAATGTCTATTTTATGATTTGATGAGCAAGCAATAAAAAGTTAGGGTGTGAGTGTTGTGTTTGTGAAAGGTACAAGGAAACTGAATACATGTATACCAGAGCAATAACAGATCACATCTAATTCCAGTAGCAGTGAATTGTACTGCCATATCCAAGTCTCCGAGTAGCATCTGGAGTAAATATGGCAGCTATGCCAGGTGCGGGTTCCTGGGGACTGTCTCAAAGAAATATTCATCCAATATTTCCTCAGAAAGGAAATTTACTTCAAAACAAACAAAAAACAACTCTGACACATACTTCAACGATAGTCATTAATATGAATATCTCTTCAATACTTCTGACTGCACATGATGCAAATATTTAGTTGCAAATATTCAATTGCAAGGACACATTATTTGATACTGGCCCTGGTAGGCGAGCTGAGAAGGTAACAGATGTGATCGACAGACTTGCAACATACAAACAGCCAAACACCTCCACAGACCAAACAGAATGATCACAAGGATTAATCTATAAACATTCAACACTGGGCACTGAAAATCATCTATCTGTTTGTAAGACTATACATGACACAGACATGTGTGGTTGCATGCAGGTATGGTTCAAGGAATTATCATTGGCTCCTTGCTTCAAAACAAGCAGAGAATACAGTTGTTCGTCATCTTGTAACATGTAATATAGGTGCATATTAGATTTTAGAAAGTGTTTTGTGCATCTTCATCCATTTGACAATATGCACCAGCATGTCTGTGTGAATGCGCTTACATGTTTATGCATGTGACATGTAATCATACTTAAATGATGGCAGTCTGTCTCATAAGCCAGAACTCTATTGTAAAATGTACGGTTTTAAATGTACTAATTCCATCCATCCACCAATCAATGTATCCATCCATGCATCCATCCATCCATCCATCCATCACTTTCTCTTCCCAAAGCATACAGGTAAACTTAGCATAATACGATTTCAAACCCATGCAAAGAATATCAAAAGAAGGAAAACCATTTTGCTGGACTTTCCCTACAGCAAATCGAGACCAAATCGTGAGGGAGATCCCCTGGAAGCCGATCTGAAGTAGTTGCCTCATCAGTGAAATCAGCCCCTGCTGAGACATGCACTGGAAAACAGACTGATCCATCTCCAGCTTCTGACAGCCTCACAAAACATCTGTTCAACCAAACTGTATGATCACATTCTCAGCCAGATGCTCCAGATCAAGACCACGGCAAGAAAACAGTTATTCAGAATGTTGTAAAAAGGTCTGTAAAAAGACCATAATGCAGTCAGAAATTAACTTGTAATTTAACTGGTCCACAAAACATGATCTGCGACAGATTTGCTAAATGATAAAAGTGTTAGGGAATGTCATTAATGTAGAAGCAGCCAGACTGTCATCCAAAGAATCAGTTTTTGTTGTACATTAGTGTGACAGAGTTGGGATGTATTTCAGTCATATCCCAAGTCAGCTAAATGTATGGGGAAAATCTAAATTAATGCATTCATAAACATTTAACACTTTGGTTTAGTATCGAGAGACTAATAAAAACCTTGGGGCTAATCTGGATTTTAGTGAGTGAGCATGGTTTTATGCCGCTTTTAGCAATATT